CGTAGTTCTTTGAATGACCATTTTCCAGGAAGATGGATTGGGCGAGGAGGTCCAATTCCTTGGCCACCCAGATCACCTGATATAAAGCCGCTGGACTTTTTTCTTCGGGGATTTATAAAGGACAATGTTTACAGGAGGATCGTGTCGAACATTGATGACCTAAAAGCCAGAATTACAACCGCAATAGCCTCTGTGGATGCCGACATGTTTGCCGCTACCTAGCGTGAAATTGACTATCGACTTGATATTCTCCGTGCGACGAAGGGGGCACACGTGGAAGTTCATTGACAAGGGTCATGAAACTTTTTGAGTCTATCTAACCATTTATGTTATTAATTTTAATGTATTATTTTATGAGTTATTAAACATCAAAATGGATCAGGGACTTTATAAACAACCTGTATTTAACAATAAAGTAATATTATCAAATTTTTTAATAATGTAATGTTAATATACTCAACAATAAAAAATAATGACAGTTTACTTTAGGTGTATAGAAATGGAATTGAACTTATAGGGCCCCACCAAGCATAAATCCGGCCCTGCTTTTACAGCAAACAAAACGATACTAATTGCAGAATAATACACTACTTTTTCTTGGAACCATTCATTTCTCTATTTTCCCCTCCATCAGTAATGCAGGGGTGATTGTGACACATAGTGAAAAACCCTGAACATGTTTCGTATTTAACGTAATTTTTTTTAAAAATAAAATTATTAAATTTTCTACCAATGATGAATATCAGACCTTTATAGTAACTTATTGAAGAAAAATCTTAGTTCTTACATGAATCGCGATGTTTGATCGCGTGAATATTAATAGTGATATTGGATTTTAAAATCGTACAAATACGAATCTCGACGTACGATTGTGAATACAAATTGTAACTTTAATTAGGCAAATACGAAAAATCGATGCTTAAAATTCAAACCGTGTGAATAGGAATTGCGATATTAGCGGAATTTGGCAGGGTTTCAAATAATCAAAAAGGCGAAAATCCGCTCAACGAAAAAACCAATTGGCCGATTTCTGCCTATTGACAAAAGAATCACGTGTACGTATGATTCTCGTTAGCGTAACTTTCAAAATTTAAATTTTAGACTGAGGAATTCCGTGAAAATTTCGTCGGATTAGAAGTTTTTTAATTAGTGAAAGTCCAAAAACCAATGGCCTTGAGAAAAGCAGAATTCCGCGACCCGGAATACCCCTAGTAATGTTCTATCCCATTCTTTTAATGCAGTTTGACATCAGTACTCAACCATTTCGCTGAACTGTCCGCCATTACGGAGCAAACAAGATTAGTTACGTAATGAGTGTTGAGTTTGAAGCCTATTTAGATACTTAAAATTATTAGCATGGGTAACTGTGCAGTGATGAATTAGGCAAAATTTAAAAAATTTTTTTTTTCTCCGTTTAGATTCCCATCAGATCTCGAAACAGCCTGGAAGTGGAGATCGCTTATGCGAGACAAATACTCATTTTATTTACTTAGTATATTAACCATGTGTTGCTAGAATTTGTTTCCGAATGCTCGTTTTTGTCTGTTCCTTTTCGGGGTTACTTGAATTGCATTTACTAAAAAATATTTATTTAAAATATGATCTTGAAGCAACATTTAATATTTTATTTAAACTATAAATTTGTTTTAATAAATCTATTCAAGTATTAAAAATAAAAAAAAGTTTTTGAAAAAAGTAAAGTGATGTATGCTAACACGCATTCCTTCCAGAATTATCTTGAGGTCAGCGTCGTTTGTAGCGATAAGTGGCCAAACCTAGTAGCTCTTCTGCATTGGCTAAAAATTTTTGTCTCGAAATTGCGGAGGTGCTGATCTAATTTATTAGGAGGATTATGAAAAATAACAATATTTTCATTAAGTAATTTTTATTGACTATTTTTGAATAGAAAATATTTGTTAAGAAAATGAAAGTAGGAGAATTTTCAGTCCACTGAATTTCTATTAAATGAATTCTTTCATTTTACATAAAAAACATGCGATTTCTCCGCTTTGTTGTGAAATGCCGCCAAATAGCAAAACTACGGAGTTCGCTTAAATGATATCTCAATTTTGCATTCATGCAACAGTGGAAACGGGTAAAATCAGAAATCTGGTAAAAACGATAATAAATACTGTTATCATAATTTAATTAGTCTCTAAGGAGTACAAGGACTCAGTGAGTTCACTATTTTTCAGAAACAGCTGTTAAACAAATAAATAATGCCATACTTCATAATATGTCAAATAAACTCAAAGCAAGTTTATGTTTTAAGTTCTTGCTATGTATAAAGAACTTATCAAGTTTTTATAAAATGATTTACCCAGCAGCCAGAATCCAGCATTGCTACTTCAATAACAAGGAGGAAAAAAAAAACCTTTAAAAGCTACAGAAACAAAAATTTACAGACAAGATCAATTAATTTTTTTTTATTTATTTAAATTTACAACTCTTTACTGTTCTTTTAATTCCCTTAATCTTCTTACTGCACTCCTTACTGTAGATGCTGCTATTGTTCTGTGGAAGGAAAAAGAGAAAAAAATTAAATCCAAAAACATAGCAATAAATAAGGAGCAAAGATACATATTTCTATAATTAGGTTAATTATACAATGGATTTCATTATAGAAAAATTTATGTTGAATCTTCAATTTAAGCGAGCAATTAAATCAGTATTAATTCAAATTTAATATTAATACAAGTGCTAGTACTTATTTCAAAGAGAGAAGGAAAAAAGTATTTAATTCTTAGTTAGAAGTCAGTAGACTTTTAAACGAAAAAGTTAATTCAACAATGAAAAAGATATAAAAAGACAAAAAAATTTAGTTAAAACAGATTGAAAGAATTTTATTTAAAAAATATACATTCCAACATAAAATCTTCTTTGGCGAATTTATAGAATACTAATATATTTCAGATTATAATCCAGTGAAAGTTGCCTCTTGGTCAAATAAGCAAAAAACTTACCATCGCATATATAAATGACTTTGGAAGATAATCGATGGCAGTCAGCTACAAATCAGCTATTTCATTCAAAAATTGTCATTTCAAAGTACTATAAGTAAACTGGTCTATACATAGAAATAAGAACTGCTTCGAAATATTTCAACTAATGGTTTGCTCCCAGCAGGAAATTGAAATAGTTAAGATGTAGAATCAGGGTTTCCGCTACGGTAGCTTTTTTCGCAAAATGCGAAAAGACCCCTCAAAAATGCTAAAATTCAACAAAGCATTTTCGCATTTTTGCTANAGATGCAAATTCGTAACCCTTTATTTACTTATAGTTAATTTGTTACAGCTATTTCCAAACACCAATTTTACTTGCTTTGTTAAAAGTATTTCTCCCATAACATTAGTAAGTATTTTTTATTCAGTTAATAAAACCAAAATGATGAAAATATGTACAGTGCACAAAACAGACCACCTTGAATAACTTTTGATCTAATGATTGGAAATTTACATTCTAGGACTCTTTAAGGGTTTGAGAGAATGACCTTAAATATGCTATAAATTAATGCACATGTTTTAGGCACAATTTGAACAAAATAAATCAAGTAGTTTCTGAGAAAACTTGTTTTAAATATGACTTTTTGTAAAATTTGTTAACTATTAAATGAAATGATTCTTGTAAGCATAAACAGGAAACTGCCAAAATGCGGTATGAAACAGAGATATTTCTCACCCGATTAAAGTTTAATGATCTTTTTTTTCGACAGGATATTAATATATCTGTAGAGTGATTTGAATTATACAGAAGCCTTCAAGTTATTATTTATAAATTATATTTATATTTTTTAGTTTTAATATTAAAAATAATCAACAGAGATAGCACATTAGCATGCCTTTGATTATTTTTACAAACTACAAATTTTTCTCTAACTTTGATTATGAGAGAGACTTTACTATTTGAAATATAAACATAAGAGAGTAGTTAACATCATACATTCTAATAAATTTTCAATATTAAGTGAGTCCCCTTTTCAGAGAGGAAGCACCTAGCTTTTTTTTTTTTAAATTCATAGGGGATCTCTGCTTCTAGAAATTCTCTTCGCTTCAAAGAAATTTAATAAATATACTTGTCTAAACTAATTTACACGTATAACACGCTTTCTTAATTTCTTATCCAACTGTCGAAAAGAAATAAAAGAGTAACTATGACCTTTTCTCAAAATAAATAATGTGTGTTCTTTATGACTGCTATTTAAAAAGTTAACCTTCATCTCACAATTTCTTTTCCAGCTACAGAACCCCAAATAGTTGACTTTTTATGTGGACCCCTGATTTAATTAAGATCATCAGCATGGCTGCAAGTTGAAAAAAAGGCCAAGACTGAAATACTTAACATACACAATACCCCCTCGACATATGCAAACTATCTAAGAAAGCTTTACCATAATACATCAAGTTTAAATACTGTACAAAAAATATTTATTCATCTGTCTTTTGACAAAATAACAGGACATAAGAAAGTAGACCAATAACGCAGACCTAAAAATTATTTTTAAGGAGAGAAATTTTTTCTCTCCGATATCCGTCTTCGAGTCAGTCTTACCTCCATCCACGGACATTTTCGAAAGACGGAAATCCGTCCTGTGGACAGAAGACTTGCACCCAGGATCACCAGTAATGGTAAACATATTTATCCTATAGACACTAATAACTTAGCTTTATCAAAAAGTCTTAAAATGAGGTGTTATGATAAACAGCAGAATTCACAAATTCTTCTTTCTAGTATATGCATAAGTTTAAAATGAATTTATGATTTTCATTGAAGTTTATTTATAAAGAGAATTTTTCCCCCTCGCCATCTTATATAGGGTAATAATGCAATCAAAGAATTATTTAATGAACTCAGTAAACACGAATAAATGTTCCTATCATAAAAGATAAACTTTTTAAAAAACATAAACAAATTTAAAAATCTTTAGTGCAGGGATGAGATTAGCCAAAACGCAAAAAAGCTGAATTTCCACGATAGTAAATTTTACGCAAGCGCAACCCTTTAATAATAAATTCCAGACAGTTTAAGGTAATAAATAATGTCTTGACATTCAATTGTGTACTAATCTATTATTATAAAAACGATTACATTGATACTTAACATTTAGTGAAAATAAAATTACCAATTGAAAAAATAAAGCTGGAAATTATATTTTTCCTCAGTTCACGTAAGAGACAATATCTACTTGAAAAACTACCTGGTTTTGCAAATTAAAAATACTGAGGANTATCAAAAAGTCTTAAAATGAAGTGTTATGATAAGCAGCAGAATTCACAAATTCTTGTGTATGCATAAGTTCAAAATGAATTTATGATTTTCATTGAAGTTTATTTACAAAGAAAATTTTTTCCCCTCGCCATCTTATATAGGGTAATAATGCAATCAAAGAATTATTTAATGAACTCAGTAAACACGAATAAATGTTCCTATCATAAAAGATAAACTTTTTTAAAAACATAAACAAATTTAAAAATCTTTAATGTTATTATGCAAAATCCTTTCATGTTTCACTTGATAACTAAAACAAGGCACTAATATAAAAACACTAAATTACCCATAAACATAGGCACCACCAGCAACAGTTTTTTGACAGGCCTTGCAATTCCAGATTCCCACACATTTTCTCTTCATTGTTTCCTAAAATTAAGACAAGTTATATTTCAATTTAAAAATCAAACAAACTAATGCAGACAATTTCAAAAAGGAAAACCTTTTTTTTATCAAATATTGAACAATAAATCTTTAGACTAATTCAATGAGAAATAATGTAAATTTTAACAAGGAACAGCCAAGATAAAATGTTTCATCGGGTGTAATAGTATAGATTCTATGCTACACAATGAATTTAATAAATAATCCAGATTTGGTCCAGGTTATCAAAATTTATCTTTAGTTCAAGTAACTTGTTTTTTGGAAGACACTAACATCCATTTTTCGATAGACTAGCTGAGCCCTCAGGTAATAAACAAAGGCTCTGGAAATTTTAACATATATTTATGTGCTTTCAGTTTCAGTATTTAATTTGAATTCACAGTTGAGTTATTCGTTCATACTTAGGAAAAAAATTACTTAAAGCACACAAAGAAAGTCGTTTTAAACCTGCAAAACAAGTCACACCTTCTTACTAAATTTTATTAAATAATGCAACGAAAAATTACGAGCAAACCCTCAGCAACATGAATGTTAAACGTAGATTTAATAAGCACTCTTCTTTTAAAAAACTTATAACTTCATAATAGTTACAAATTTAAAATTATATTAATACAAATTACGTATCAATTTGATATATAAATGCACCTATATTCTTTATTTAAAATCAGGGTTGGCAAGTTTTTGACACTTGACGGTTTTTACTGTCATGTCAAAAAAACCATAGTTTTGGTAAAACTGTATTTTTATTTGAGTCTAACTGCTTGTAATTTAAAATTAATTCAATTTAGGCTATAAAATTAGAAAAAAAGTTGTTAAAAGATATTTAAGAACAGATTCTTGCATTTTCCCAACATGATTATATCAGAACATACGATTTGAAGTAAAATATTAGGATACTAAACAAATTTTCAACATTTCCAAGCATAATTTTGTTTGGCATATTATATTACTGAAGAATGTCAAGTCATTCTTGACTTAGAGTTTGTTAGTAGCTACAAGTTTTGTTTAGCTCATTTCTAATATTTAAGAAATGCCAAATTTTAAATTATTCTTTTTAGTTCTTGAACTTATTAATAGTACCAAGCTTTTTTGTTTGTTTATTTTTAACAATTAAGAGCAAAATTTTGAATCCTTTGCAAATCAAGCTATAATGATAAAAATAAGTATCACTATTTTCAATAGGTATATTACAGTATTTCTATATGAATGTATATCCTTCTATAAGAATACATGTATATAGTTGTAAAATCAATAGCAATCATTTATTCAATCATTCACAAAGGCAATTATGTGAAAATAATATATTGTCCGATATATTTGATAATCCAGAACCAAA